TGGCATTTGTTTTGAGCTACTGGTGAAATGAATTAACTATACTGCTTGGGGTCATCTGTTTGCCCTTGGTTCCTGCCACTTCTTGAGCTGATGGTCATCTCTTCTATTCATGTTGTCTCTTTCTGTAATAATAATCAAAGACCTGGCAGTGTATTCAATCTGTGAAACTGTGAAACCTACTGTGTTATCTTGAGCTGGTATATGCCAAATCTAGCCTTTTACCCTATAGCAATTACAAATATTGAAGGCCAATTATTGATGTCCTTGATTAAAAGATAATTTTTTGAATTGTAGTAGGTAATGTCTCCCAATACGCATGCCAATATATTTCAAGGTCCCTTTAGGTTGTTGAGCACATACTTGAAGCTGCTCTGTCCCAAATTGCTCAAGTTATTACAGTTTCTATTACTGTGATTAAAATTCTCTGTATCACCAATTAAATACAGGAGTTTCTGGGCGTGGAACAGAGCTAGAGATTCCACTAAATTAAAATTGCATCCTTTTATGATGATATCTTTAGGTCTTCTGTACAGTAGAATAGTAGATGGCTTTGTTCCTCTCGTTACCTATTTTACAAATAAAAGATGTCCTTGTCCTCGTTATCCGAGGCTCAGTCTCTTTCTTCATAAATGTACAATTAAAGTGACTAAGTGACTGCTCTTACAACTATCCTTAAGAAAAACAACAACAACAAAAACTCTTCTGGCTCAACTGAAAGAGCTGAGGGCATTCCCTCTAAGATCTGGAACTGGAAAAGAATATTCACATCTACAACTCTTATTCAACTCATTAGAGATCTTAACTGGAGCAACGAGTCAAGAGAAAGAAATAAAGGACACCCAGTTCAAAATAGGCAAAGTCAAACCATCTCTTTTCTCAAACAACATGATCCTCTGTGTAGAAAACACTAGAGTTTCAACTAAAAAAAATGGTATATGCATTTAGTAAAGTTGCTGAATGCATCAACATATACTCAGTAGCAATTTTTTTATGTGCCAGTAACAATAAATGGCCGGAAAAAGCAATCCCATCCAATACAGTTATAGACATACATAGAAGCAAAGTATTAAGGAATAAATTTAATTGAAGAAGTGAAAGTTATGAAACAATTGAAGAATTATAGAGGTCAAACGCAGAAAAACAGAAAGACAACATGCTCATGGGCTGGAAGACTGTATTGTTAAAATGGTAGTCATATCTAAAGTGACCTATAGATTCAATGTAATACTCATCAAATGAACAGTGACATTCTTCATGGAAATAGAAAAAATAATAAAATCTCATATGGAATTTCAAAAAGACCCAGTAGTCAAAACAACTCTGAGCAAAAAGAACAAAGCTGGAGGCATCTCATACATGATGCCCACAGTGAAAAAACCAGAGATTATTCATTGATCTCTTTCTAGTAGTAAATGTAAAAGAAGTTCTAGTGGCAAATAGACAGAAATCTACAAACCTTGCACAAACATTTTGTGGCAGCTAGTCAATATTATCAAAGGTTTCCTGAAAATCATTGTGTCATGTTTCTTGTTTAAATGCCTCTGTTAGCTCAACAGAGAAACAAGTGTCAAATGAATCATCTTACAATGTCATGTTTTCTACTTAATATTAAAATTGAAAATTAGATTCACTATAAAACAATAGAGCCCTGTAGGTTACTAGTTTTCTATTTTTCAAACGTCTATTATTCATTGCACATTTTTCTTTAAGAATTTTTCTCAAAAAATCTGTCTTTGCCAATGGAGTGTCCATTTTGGGTACTTTCCATAGCTAGCTGAGAATTTTAAGTTATAGCTTAGTCACTGGATAGAGTTATATGCCATGATATTTAACTCTAACTTTGGCATTAGTCAAGATTGATAGGCTATTCTTGGTTGTATTAAGTGGACTAGTCCCTGTGGAGTTCATTTATATTTTTCTTACTTGCTTACTAATGAGCAGTAGCATGACCGTGAAGCTAGACTCTGCTAACAGATAAGTTAGATATACCCACACAGCTTCACATCCCTTTCCAGAAATAAGGATTCCATAACAAGTAATTCTTCTCTTCAATAATTAAAATATATCTTAATTATGACTTATGCATGAATAATTTGATCAATTGATGTGACAAAAAAGATATATTTGAGCAAGGAAATCTTGGATTACTCCAATGGGTTAAAGTTCTGGGAAAAAAATCTTCAAAATGCTTAAATAGGGATACAGATTGACCATTGTAACAATGAGATGTACAAGACAGTATGTTGAAAACAAACTTTACAATTTAGGTGAAGGGGTGGGGGGTAAGGGGAGAGTGTAGTTGTGGAGGTGGGAAGGGATGGTAGGGGAAAAAAACAAAAAAGACAACAATGCTTCATAAGAAATGTACTCATTACCTTGCTCATGTAACTGTAACCCCTCTGTACATCCAGTATTTTTACAATAAAAACGTATTAAAATATAAAACCATAAACTTTCATACTTGACATAAAAATGACTGTTCTTATCACAAACTTTATTAAAAGTAGTTAAACACACACACAAATAGGTGCATAACTAAGTGGGTCGGGCTTATAAACATGAGAGAACTGAAAGACTCTGGGAGCTTCACAGACAAAGCTGCATACATCATAATGAATTATGAATTGCTCACATACTGCATATTCCAACTGAATGTATTGGTAATTATTCTAAAGAAAAGTTGAACATAAAGTTAATATCAAGGTTAAAAATAACTCTGTAGTAAACTAGCAGGTGCTTTCAAAAGTGAACTAAAGCAAAAATTCCTAAAAAAGAAACTATCTCATTTGTCCTTAGTATTTAAAAAAATCCAATAGTCCAGTGATTCTTGAAATACTTAAGATAAAACTTGTGAGAGAAGGACTGTGCATAATAGTGCATGCCTGTAATCCCAGCTGCATGAAAAGTAGATGGAGAAGGATTATGGTTCAAGGATGACCTCAAGAAGTATGAGCCCCTATCTGAAAAAAGCATAGTAAGACCTTGAGTTCAATACCTAGTACAGTAAAAGAAGGTGTTGGTACTAGAGTAAGGCAGCATCTCAGTCCATTGTCTAAATGTGGACCTCTCTCTGCTACAGTATAAACTGGTTAAAAATAGAGTCTAGAATTATTCCACTCCAAGTCTTTTTTGTCCACTTTTTTGTTCAATAGATGTTATCATCAAAATGCTCTAGATATAAATAATCAAATACAGATAATATAAATAATAAATCTTATGTAAATATTAAAATCTGTCATACTTGTTATTTCAATGATGCATTTTCATTTACCCTTTGGTCACAGTGATTTACTGTGTTTTAAATTGAGAGTATTCTCTTTTGAATCCTATTTTAGAACTATCTTTTATTTTAAAAGCAGGCAAACCAGCAATCCAAACCTGTTTCTCTGTGTTAAACTAACAGGGGCCTTAAAAAAATAATACGACACTGTGATTTGCACTAAACTAGGAAAGGTTATTTTGGAACTGCTTGGACTTTAGATATTTGAAGTAGTAATTACTTCCTCCATAAATACTACCTTTTAAAGTCAAATACTACTTTCCTGTTGCAGTTCACTTTTAAGTTAAAAGAAAACGTCTTTTATCCAAAATTCACCCTGTTAAATTATTCCACATGATAACTATCCTTTTTATTTGTTTTAGTAGCATTGTAATATCTATGAGAGGTCATCATGATAGTGACAATAGCTTACACTTATTCAGTTCTTACTCTCTTTTGCTCAAGCCTAGAAATCTATCACTTTGAGCCACAGTGCCTCTTCCTTAGTACTTACTCATTTCAGTAAGCATTGTATATTGCTATGCCATTTAATACCACAAAAATTTAGGTTATCTATCTATCTATCTATCTATCTATCTATCTATCTATCTATCTATCTATCTATCTATCTATCTATCTATCTATCTATCTATCTATCTCCCTTGTTTACATGTAGACCTTCCCCTGACTAGAGTTCAAGCTAGTAAAAGACAGAGACTAGATTTTTTTTCTCCCCAAATCTTTTTAAAAATAGGTTTTTATTGTGAAAATACTGTACAGGGGCTGGGAAGGTGGCTCAGTGGTAGAGCACTTGCCTTGCATACATGAGGCCCTGGGTTCGATTCCTCAACACCACATAAGCAAAAAGAAAAAAGCTGGAAGTGGCGCTGTGGCTCAACTGGTAGACTGCTAGCCTTGAGCTGAAGAGCTGAGGGATAGTGCCCAGGCCCAGAGTTCAGGCCCCACGACTGGATTTCCCCTTCCCCCTCAAAAAAAAGAAAAAAAAAAGAAAACACTGTACAGAGATGGTTACAGTTACATCAGCAAGGTAATGAGTACGTTTCTTATCCAGCATTGTTGCCTACTCTTTGTTTTTCCCCTACCATCCTGTCCCTCCCACCTCCTTAACTAGCCCCCGGCCAAGGCCCCCCACCCTCCCTTCCCGTGCATTCCCCCCACCCCTCAACCCTCCCCTGCTTAAATTTTAAAATTCGTTTTTCAGCATAGGTCTTGTACATATCGTTGTTGCAATCTCCAAATCTTTTTGTCTAGCATAAGTCATGGCATGTAACAAACTCTCAAAGGATGTTTATCATAAAAATATTCTAGATATAAATAAGAGGGGATTAAATTTATGTCTATTTACATACTATCATCTATGTATCACTGAGGTTTGGAGACTTTTTCCAACTGGTAAACAATATGATCAAGTTCATAATAGAAAAGGCATCTGCAGATCTGTATTCTTCGAATCATATTTTTTGAAGCTGCAAGTATTCAGTAACAAAATTTAATGGCCATATTTTGCATCCATTAAGATTCATGGCCTGGCTTTGCAAAGTATATTATAAAACATCAAACAATATGTGTTTTGAAAGGTGGTATGTAAATCAAAGTCATCAAGCCAATAGCCAAGATTCCAAGAGTACCTCTTCCACGTTGTATGCATGGAAAATCAACTCTTACCTGATCTTCACCAGCACATGCATTTTGAAACTGACCATTATCGTTTGCAACTTACCATTGCCTTGGGTTTGGTTCCAGAACTGGACACTGGAGTAGAAGATGTTGTATCCATCAACTCAGTGTTAGGAGGCAAGTTTACTTGGGTCTGGTGTACTGAAATGGTATCTGCACCACTTTCAGATCCTGATTCCAGATCCTGTTAAAAATAAATGTATTGGTATGAAGGAAGGAGCTGCGATCACCTCCTGCATGCCCACTTTCCTGCTCTCCTTTCCATCTCTTCCTCTGTCAACACACACAGACACAATAAAGAGTTGTTCACTCAACATGATGCTCATAGTCCTTCCTATTTTATAGTAACAGTTACACTCTGCTAAGGATCTTTAGATATGCAAGTCAGAGGTAATATATTACTTTTAAAAAAAAATAACATCTTAATGTGAATAATAAAGGTCAATAATGGGAGCTAGCTAGGGCACTACACTAAGTGTTGGGAAGTAGAAGCCTATAGATAACCCTAAGCAATTAGCTTAACATCCCACATGCAACTAAGTACCTCTCAGATTTTTCTCACTGGGTCATTGCACACATCAAATAATGAGGAAGTCTTTATTTTTCCTCACCCTGCTCTTCTCTCATTACACTAGACTTCCATGGTCACACCTACCACAGTGGCCTTGAATCATTCAGCTCAAGTTTCTATCTATGTCTTTACAACTATGAGACAAGAATCGTGTTGGATCATATGCAACTCAATTCCCTTATTTGAAAGTGGGGATAATGACATTACGCATTAATGGAATTTTATGAATATTAAACAAATGGAACTCAAAGTACATGTGGTTGGCATACAATAATTTCAATTGAATATTAGTCATTATAAAGATGATGTGTGTGTGTGTGTGTGTGTGTGTGTGTGTGTGTGTGCGCACGCGCGCGCGCATGTGTGTATGCCTTCATAGTATATCCTGGGGCTTGTATTCAGGGTCTGGATGCTGTAGTTTTTTTTTTTTTCATTCAAGGCTAGAGCTCTACCACTTGAGCTACAGCTCCATTTCTGAGTTCTTATGGACTTTCCTTGAAGTCCATAAGACTGGGCTGGCTTTGAACTGTGATCTTCCTCTCAACTTCCTGCATAGCTAGGATTACAGATGTGAGCTACTTGTGCCCAGCTGATTGTTTTAAATACCACATTGTTTTAGTTACTCCTAAGTAACAAGGTATCTGTTGAGTGTGTGCAATTATTCTAATCTCTGCAGATTGTGCATTGGATTTAACAAATGCTCTCTTTGAATTACAGGAGACCTAGCTATATCAAGGAGAGATGGGAGAAGGAGAAAGGCAAGAATAGAAGGATAAAAGAGTAGAAGTCAAGAGTAAAGGATACTATGACAAACCTACAGCCAGCATTATACTTAATGGAAAAAACTAAAGCCATTTCCTCTAAACTCAGGATTGAGACAAGGATGTCCACTCTCTCAACTTCTTTTTAATTTAGTATTAGAATGCCTACCTACATAAATAAGACAAGATGCAAACATGAAGGGGATCCAAATAGGGAAAGATGAAGTAAAACTCTCCCTCTTTGCAGATGACATGATCTTGTATTTAAAGAATCCCATGACTCCACTCCTAAATTACTTGAACTAATTTGAAACTTTGTCAAAGTAACAGGGTACAAAGTTAACCCTCAAAAATCAATGGATTTTTTATATTTCAACAATGAGAAGAGCATGGCTGAAATCAGGAAAGCAACTCCTTTTCTAATAGCCCCACAAAAAATACCTAGGAGTTAACTTAACTAATGAAATGAAGGACCTCTATGATGAAAACTTTGAAAACCTGAAAAAGGAAGTCAAAGCAGAACTTAAGAAGTGGAAAAAACATCCCATGCTCCTGGATGGGGAGGATTAACATTGTGAAAATGGCAATACTTTCCAATGCTATCTACAAATTCAATGTGATATGTATCAATATTCCAACCTCATTCTTCAATCAAATAGAAGAAGCAATCCGAAAATTCATATGGAACAATAAAAGACTCCGAATAGCAAACACAATCCTTAACAGAAAGAACACTGCTGGAGGACTATCAATACCAAATTTCAAACTCCACTCAAAGCCACAGTAATCAAAACAGCTTGGTACTGGCACAAGAAGAGACCTCAGGACCAATAGAATAGAATTGAAAACCCAGAAATGAACCCACAGACCTATAGCCACCTAATCTTTGATAAGGGAGCTAAAAAACTAGGATGAAAGAAAGACAGCCTCTTCAGTAAATGATGCTGGAAAAATAGGTTAACTACTTGTAGAAAACTAAAGCTAGATCCTTATCTATCACCCTGCACCAGAATCAACTCCAAATGGATCAAAGTCCTTGGAATCAAAGCAGATACCCTGAAAATATTACAGGATTGAATAGGAGAAACCCTAGGTCTCCTTGGCACAGGCTGAAAATTTCTTAATGGAGACCCAGAAACACAACAAATCAAAGAAAGGTTGGACAAATGGGATTGCATGAAGCTGCAGAGCTTCTGCATGGCAAAGGACATAGGTAGCAAGATTAATAGAAATCCCACGGATTGGGAGAAGTTCTTCACTAGCCATACAACTGACAAGGGTCTCATACCTAAAACATACTTGGAACTCAAAAAATTAAATACCCCAACTACAAATCCTCAAAGAAACAACTGCTCGATAAATAAGTGGGCTAAAGACTTAAAGAGAAACTTCTCTGAAGAAGAAAGAAGGATGGCCAGTAGACACATGAAGAAATGCTCAACCTCTCTAGCCAAAAAAGAAATGCAAATCAAAACAACCTCGAGATTCCACCTCATCGTAGTTAGAATGGCTATAATCAAGAACTCTAACAACAGAGGCTGGAGGGGATGTGGTCAGAAGGGAACCTTACTTCATTTTTGGTGGGAGTGTAAACTTGTTCAACCACTTTGGAAAGAAGTATGGAGGTTCTTCAAAAGACTCCACATTCCACATAGAGCTCCCCTATGACCCAGCAATCCCGCTTTTGGACATTTACCCAAATGATTACAAACAAGACCATACTAAAGCTACCAGCACAACTGTGTTTATTACAGCATTATTTACCATAGCTAAGATATGGAACGAACCCAGATGCCCCTCACTGGATGAATGGATCAAGAAAATATGGTATATATACACAATGGAATTCTATGCCTCCATCAGAAAGAATGACACCGCCCCATTTGTTAGGAAATTGAAAGTCTAGGGAAAATTATATTAAGTGAAGCAAGCCAGGCCCAATTTCTTAATTTTACTTTTCACTTGGCAGCATTATTTTCCTCAATGTTCACCAACTCTGTGTGAAAAATAATGCTATCATCACTTGCCAAGTGACAAATCCCAGACTTAAGGCAAGTGACATTTCCAAATCACACTCTAAAATCTTTATCCGACAGAACTGATATTAACACACAGGTCTTGTTGGATGTGTAGAGACAAAGTGACTTCAAATTTATAGTTTTCAAGTTCATTTTGTAACACTAATCCTTAACTGAAGTATTTCATGGAATACAGTACATAGTTTTAAATTGAAAAGATAAGTGGATGTTATCACAAATAAACACAGAAACTGGAATAATTCTAGTTTAAGAATCCATCTCTGCTGGCTCCCAGTGGCTTACACCTATAATCCTAGTTACTTGGGTGGCCCAGATGTGAGGATCACAGCTTAAAGCCAGCCCTGGCAGTTTTTCTCAAATAAACTACCAAGAAAAGCCAGAAGTAGACTTGTGGCTCAAGTGGTATAGTATTAGCTTCAAACAAAAGAAGCTCAGAGACAGCACCTCATCCTTAAATTCAAGCTCCAGGACCAGCAAACAAACAAACAAACAAAAACCCACAACAACCCCTCCATAAAAAAACAAAACCAAACAACAAACAGACCTTTTTGACTTAAAAGCTCAACTTTATGAAATAATCAGCACACAGAGGGCCAAAACCAAACCTACATAAGTAACTGAATAGGGCTACCTATGCATAGCTTAGTACAAATGTCATTATTTCTCTTTTCACCTTTGTTTAAGAAATAACATCTGGGCTCTATCTAGATCTAGATCCATTCCCTCTTTCCCTGTCCACTGCTCCTATGTACTAAATAAAAACTGAATTACTTTCCTGAATTGCATTACTCTGATACCTAATACTTTCCCTGTTACCTGCTTTGTGCAGTTCATTTTATGTATCTTCTTCCCACAAAGCTCCAGTCATCACTGGTACTCAGTTCCCCAAGTGTGTCAGGCAATGGGAACATATAGATTTCAGAAGAGTTCTTGTAGCAGAAAATCTTTGTGCTATGTGCTATAACAGCACTGCTTGTACAGTTCAATCAAAGCACAAATGAATGGGCTGCTTGAGATCCAATGGATCCTAAGACTCTATGAAATAAGATTTCATTGGTGATTCCCTTTTGAAAGAAGCTAGGGAAGCTGTGATATTTCCCAAGGAAATTAGTCTTACAGAAGGGAAAACTGAGTTAGAATCTGGATATAAGATTTAAGGGGTAAATGTAGGAAGAGAAACATGAGTATATAGACTGTAATTTCTGAGGTGGAAAAACAAAAGAGGAACCAGAAGTCAAGAAGTGGTAAAAGTTATTGAAGACATGACTGTATTCGGTATTGTCCAGTGCTACAGTGAAGATAATGAAGTTACTAAGCCATCTGTCAGATAAGAGGCAGGTAGTACAAAATGATGGAATAGTGGTCAACAATTAAGTGAAGATGCAATAGAAGTGTGGGTCAAAAAGGAACAAGTGAAGGGCTCTTTGTAATTGGGAGAAAAACTTTGTTTTAAACCTTCTAAATGGAAAGCAGCCATGGATTCTCTTATTATCCACCTCTCTTGTTCTTGCACACTAACAGAGAAGTCTTAAGCATAGGAAGGGTTTATTTATTGAATAGGTACATGGTAGAGACATCGAAGCATGTATATATGCTCAAAAGGGAAAGAATAGGATCCAAGATGCCAGCTAGGGGCCAGGCTCTCAGGAAAGTATCATTTTGGAAGAAAATCTGGCATGCCTAGTTTTTGGGGAAGAGGAGAATGTATATTTCCTTTCCTTTCCTTAGGCTGCCTATATGTTAAAAAAGAAAAAAAAAACCCCAAAGAATAGGAACTTATAGGAATAGAGCAATAGAATTTGAGTCTATGAGGGCAGATGAATCATTGGTGAAGCAAAACCAGCAGTAAGAAGGGATGCAAGTAGAGACTTAGCCTATAAAATAAAACATTAAACGGCAAGAACATGATGTCTTTTACTAAAGAGACACTGACAGCCATGTCTACTTAGCAAACGGACGTTTGCTAAGAGGTACATGCTAAAGTGGGAAGGGATTTTAAGACAAGAATAAAAGTTTTGAATAGTCACCTGGACAATTCAAGGAGACCAAAGAGTAGTGAAAAAGGTTCAACAAAGTTAGTGGTCAACATCTACATGTGTTTTAATCTTCCCTTCAGCATAGATAAAATATCCTGAGATTATAAATATTTCTTTGCTTATACATTGATTCAAAACAATTAGGAACATAAACTCAAAATACTGTGTTGACTTCCAGAGAGCCTTGGCAATGATTCCACTGCAAATGCAAAACTTACATTCTGGGTTGGCTTATAATGCAGCAGAATGACATGGGCTTTTCTGATGAAGTGGGAAGTGAATCTCAGTTTGCTATGTAACTTTTGGCAGATCAGTACCATTCTGTGTCACTACGTAAGTGATCATTTCTGAATCTCAGGCTTCTTATTACAGGATTGTCAAGAAGACAAGTAATGGAATATGTGTATGTGCATATGTGTGTATGTTTTATAAAACAAGAAAAGTATTATCTTGCGGAGGCATGTATAAGAAAGAATGTACATAGGTAGTTTAATACATACACACACTTCTGTATAGTGAGTATATATAGACTATATAAATAGTCTATATCTATCTCGATATATGTATCTAAATTATATACATACATACATACACTCACTAAAGCCAGGCATGGTGACTTGTGCCTGTAATCCCAATCACTCAGGAGGTGTAAGTAGATAATTATAGTCTCAGACCAGCCAAAAATCATGAGACCCTATCTGAAGAATAACTAAAACAAAAAAGCTGGGAGTGTGCTCATGTGATAGCATAGTTTTTGCTTAGTAAGAAAACTGAGTTCAAACCCCCAGGACATCCCCTCTGCTCCTCCTGAAAATTTAATGCATGTTACATATTAATGACTCTCCCTACCTACTCCCCTCCACCCCCCCCCCCCGCCACCCTGCCAACTTCCCAGTCCTCTGCCACTCATGGTGTGAGATTAGCTATCATTAGCCAGCCCCAAGACCCACCAAACTGACAAGTGGTGGGTGCTTGGACTAAGAGAAGTGTTGAGATTACAAAGGAGAAAATCATGTCTTATGGACTGGGAAATCTACCATAAATGGAGCCAATTTGTAAGCTCTATCTGCACAGTCTCGTTTTATTTTTCTAAGTTTATTTTATTGTAGAGATGCTGTAGTGAGGGATTACAGTAAGAAAGGTAAGGTAAGTAAGTAAGGTAATGAGTAAGTAAGGTAATGAGTACATGTCTTCTCAAACATTATTACACAGTCTCATTTTAAACTTTCCCTTTCCCTATTATGTGTAAAATTCATACTAAATTCACTCTCAAATACTCTAACCTTTCTTTTTCCATGTGTGTTATCATGTATGAAAAGAATTCTGTTTTTTTCCTTATAATTCTTCTTAAACTGAAGAATGAGAGTGCTTCACTATCTATCCAGGACTTTCTGCCAAACACTAGTCACAGTGGACCAGGAAGTTGTGTAGGGTGGGGGAGGGCAGTGTCTCCCCTGAATCTGAGACAGGGTTCCTTGAGGCATGATCAAGGCGCTAATCAGGACATTATAATCCTCTTATTCCATGGCACAGTTATCCAGACGAATGGAAAGTGCCTGTGGAGAAAAACTTGATGATGAGAGAGAAAGTTAAAATTAGCTTTAAACACCAAGACACAGAAGGGAAGCCCAAGGGGTGACCTAGAAAAAAACACAAAAACCAAAAAAGAAGTTTTGAGGGTTGTGGGACTTATCTTTTCATCTTTATTCCAGAGCTTGATGTGAGTACAGAGAGGGAGGGAAGAGAATTAACGACCAAATACACGTTCTGGGCCAGATGTGTGATAAACCACCTATGTACATTCTTTCTTTTACGTGCCTCTACAAGACAATACTACTCTTGTTTTACATAAATCTGGTTAAAAAGCTAAATAATTTTCTTATGTTCTTAACCAGCCATATAAAAAGAACCCTGGCATTTGAATCAAATCTGCAGCCAGCAAAGTTTATAATATTTGCATTGTTTTATTTTGCCTACCTCAAGTATATATTAAACTCAGAGCTTAGAAATGGAAACTTATTTATAAACTCAAAAATTATGGTGAGATTCTATGAGACAATGTGTGTAATTAAAAAGTCCAGTTTACAATGGAAGTGGAGGCAGAGCTTGTCAATGAAGACACATCATCGTGTATGTTAGCTCAGGTTTTAGTTTTTCCTTACTGCTTCATGACAAAGCAGATGATAAGGAATATCTTGGTTTTGAGATGAGATAAAACCATAGAGTTGTATTGGGCAGAAATCTGGTCTGTGTGTTTCTCCTAAACACACAGGATTGAGGAAAATTGAATATATAGAGGAAAAGAGACGTGAAAGACAGGAAGGAAGAACAATTTATACTAGAAAATTACAAAAAAATATATATTCTGTATCTACATGAATGATAAAGCAGAAAAAGTAAATAGCTTCAATTGAAAATACAGATGTAACCCTCAATGTACATATGTTAGAAATGGAAGAAGGAAGCTCTCAAGCTTTGTAGGGTTGGGACAGGTAGGAGGGGATGATGAAAGAGGGGACGCTGATCAAGATGCATTGTACCCATACACTGATCAAGATGCATTGTACCCACACACTGATCAAGATGCATTGTACCCACACACTGATCAAGATGCATTGTACCCATACACTGACAGATTGAACTGAAATCTCTTTGTTCAACAATTTAAACACAATAAAAATATACGTGTGCAAAAATACAAATGAGGAAAAATATAGTGATTCCTGACTTGAAGGTTTTTCAAAAGAATCGTTTATATACTCCTCATATGTAAGAACAATCCAAGTATCCCATCCTACTGGACTTTAGGAGATGGCTTTGCATCTCTCCCATCTGAATGTCTGTCTTGCTAGCTGAATCTAAATTATGTGGAAGACACTCAGGCAGCACCAAGGAAGGAGTGACTGAATCCGTCTAGGTAGATATTTAGGAATGATTCACTAGAAAGAAAATATCTGCAATGAATCCTGAAGGGTAAGAAAAAAAATTATTCATGTTACAAAAAAAGAAAATTTCATTTCTATTGAATTTCAAGATTGAAGTATTTTAGTTACATATTTATTCATTTTGAATTAGATTTCTTTATTGCTTAAATTTGCAAGTTATCTTCACAGTCAGCTAGAGAATGCAGTATGATGTAGTGGTTTAATGATAGAGTTTTGGATGAAAACTTGCTGGGGTTTTCTGTATATTAGTTCAGTCACATGCAATTATTCACTTCTCTATTCTTTTACTCCTTTACTCATTCTGAACAATGGAATACAGTAAAATATGCCAAGCATTTAGAATAATACCCATAATATAATAAAGTAAGGTCTCATTTTGATCTATTTACTTGAAAATCAAGGTAGAACCATACTAACTAAAGAACTAGACACAGCAGGTTATAAAATTAACCCCCAAAAATCAATGGCTTTTCTGTATGCCAACAATGAGAAAAGTGTGGCTGAAATTAGGAAAGCAACTCCATTTGTAATAGCCCCACAAAAAATAAAATACCTAGGAATTAACTTAACTAAAGAAGTGAAGGACCTCTATGATGAAAACTTTAAAATCTTGAAAAAGGAAATCAACACAGAACTTAAAAAATGGCAAAACCTCCCATGCTCCTGGATTGGAAAGATTAACATTGTGAAAATGGCAATACTTCCCAAGGCTATCTACAAATTCAACGCAATACCTATCAAAATTCCACCCTCATTCTTCAAGGAAATAGAAGAGGCAATCCAAAAATTCATATGGAACAATAAAAGACCCCGAATAGCAAAAACGCTTCTCAACGGAAAGAACACTGCTGGAGGAATATCAATACCAAATTTCAAATAGTAATCAAAACAGCTTGGTATTGGCATAAGAACAGACCTCAGGACCAATGGAATAGAATTGAAAACCCAGAAATGAACCTACAGACCTATAGCCATCTAATCTTCGATAAGGGAGCTAAAACAATAGAATGGACGACAGACAGCCTCTTCAGTAAATGGTGCTGGCAAAATTGGTTAACTACATGTAGAAAACTAAAGCTAGATCCTTATCTATCACCCTGCACCAGAATCAACTCCAAATGGATCAAGGACCTTGAACTCAAAGCAGACACTCTGAAAACATTACAGGATGGAATAGGAGAAACCCTAGGTCTCCTTGGCTCAGGACGAAATTTTCTGAATAGAGACCCGGAAACACAACAAATCAAAGAAAGGTTAGACAAATGGGATTGGATAAGGTTGCAGAGCTTCTGCAGGGCAAATGACATAGCTAGCAAGATCAATAGAAAGCCCACGGATTGGGAGAAGATCTTTACTAGCCATACAATACACAAGGGTCTCATATCTAAAATATACTTGGAACTCAAAAAATTAAACCACCCAACAACAAATCCTCAAAGAAACAACTGCCCAATAAGTAAGTGGGCGAAAGACTTAAAGAGAAGCTTCTCTGAAGAAGAAAGAAGGATGGCCAATAGACACATGAAGAAATGTTCAACATCCCAAGCCATAAAAGAAATGCAAATCAAAACAACATTGAGATATCACCTCACTCCAGTTAGAACAGCAAAAATCAAGAACTCTAACAACAACAGGTGCTGGAGGGGATGTGGACAGAAAGGAACCTTACTTCATTGTTGGTGGGAATGTAAACTTGTTCAACCACTTTGGAAAGCAGTATGAAGGTTCCTCAAAAGATTTCACATAGAACTCCCCTATGACCCAGCAATCCCACTTTTGGGCATTTACCCTAATGTTTACAAAAAAGACCACACTAAAGCTACCAGCACAACTATGTTTATTGCAGCATTATTTACCATAGCTAAGATATGGAACCAACCCAGATGCCCCTCAGTAGATGAATGGATCAAGAAAATGTGGTATATATACACAATGGAATTCTATGCCTCCATCAGAAAGAATGACATTTCCCCATTTGTTAGGAAATGGAAAGGCTTGGAAAAAATTATATTAAGTGAAGTAAGCCAGGCCCAAAGAAACATAGGTCCCATGGTTTCCCTTATTTGCAATATCTAGTATAGGTATGAGTCAAGCGGAAAAAGTCAGAGAATGTGATGTTAGGAAAACGAACCCTCAAATATGTATTTTAATGTTTTTGTTTCTTTCATGCATGTGTTTCTAACGCATTTATAAGATTATTTCTTTGTTGCTTTGTATGTCCCTCCCCCACAGTGTAACCCCCGCTTTCACTATATTTGGTGTCAGTATAACATGTGGAGGAGATGGGGACAAACAAGTCGTTTAAGGATTCAGGTGGACCTGTTGCAACAATGAGAAGTACAAAATGTCATGTCAAAACCAGCTTTACAATGTCGATGTGTGTGTGTGTGGGGGGGGTATGATTGGGTGGGGGGGAGGGGGGAGGCTGGGAAGGGAGGTGAAGGGTAAACAAAGGAGGAGGCTGCAATGCTTGGTAAGAAATGTATGCATTATCCTGCCCATGTAAGTGTAACCCCTCTGTACAGTATGTTCTCAAATAAAATAAAATAAAATTAAAAAAAAAAAGAACTAGACACAGAATAGTGGCATTTCAGTAAGTATCCAAGGTTTTGTATGCAAATTAATATATTTATGCAATCCTTCTGTCTCTTTTTTCATTCTATTTTTAGTATTTTCTCAAGTTAATCTTGTTTACATTATTTGTTGTAGAATTCTGGGTTAGTTCAACCATCGTCTTATCCATCCATTCATATATATCCATCCATCCATGCATCTATGTAGAAAATACTTATTAAACATTGTCTTCATGTAGTATAAATGTATGGCCTAGAACTAACTGGGCACAATGTACTTATGTAGAAGTAACATTAAACAAGATATACAAAGCATTTTCTACGGAGTTCATATCACCTCATTGAAGATTGACAAGAAAAAACTACAGCAAATTTTAATCATAAGCATAATTTCCCAAGGTAAATTTCTTATTTCATGGTTCATATCTTGTTTTGTATCACTCAAGTATATTGTATCAAATACCAGGGTAATCACTAGTCACCATGAAATAATTATTAACTTTGATTTGTATCAAAGAACAGGGGTAACCATGTAGATTAACTTTCCAATGGTCTCTCTACATTAAATAGGACAATAGATAATTCTAGAGGCATTATCTTTTCATATTTGTATCAAATAGCATGATCTTCATGGGACATTTGCATAATAATAGATGTATCTAGTCTACACGGATGTTTGGCTTGTGAGAGGGACAGTCTGACGTTAAGAGACAGCACTCTCATAGGAAAGCAGTGGCAGGTGGTAAACTCACAGGAACATGGCGCCGCAGGTTCGTTGGTGTGCTAGAAGGAGAAGAGCTGGTGCTGAGGGCATTTTCAATGTCCTGGTCAAGTTGGTCTAGTTTCATAATTAGCAGCACCATGGAGTCCAGCCGGGCCTTATCTCGATCTTCTCTTCTTTCCTGAGGAACAGAACATGTTGTTACTCATTTTGAAAGACCATTTGTTAGAAAGAATAAAAAGTTCCCTGTTGGACAATCGGACAAGGCTAATGCATAACAAGCAGTGTTCTATTCAGGCAGGAAGGGAAGTCCTAGTCTGTATCATCAACAAGCTCTTCATTGGGAAGGTACTGGTCTAGTGCCAACAAAGCATTTCACATAAATATTAAGTATTTCAGAAGGAAAAATAACAACAATGAATACTGATACATACTCCCTACTTTCCAATGAATTTTTCTGGGGAAATCTATATACTGATTTTTTTTCAGAGTAAAAATTGATTATTTACAAGCCACTAATAATTGTCTGTGGTCAGACATTTAAAGATGTGCCTAAGCAATTTTTTTTGAGTATTTCTGAATTAACATCAACACTATGAGGAGAATAAAACAAGGAAGTTTTGGTTTGTACTGTGGGTTGTTTCCCTTGATGGCTAAGCTGTTCTAGCCTATACCATTGTCCATATTTCCCTCAAAGCTTAGTTTTCTTCCACATACTTCTTTTAAATATTTTTTATTGTAAAGGTACAATACAGAGTGGTTACAATTACATGAGTGAGATGATGAGTGCGTTTCCTATTGAGCATTGTCACCTCCTCCTTTGTTTTTCCCCTACCATCCCTTCCCTTGCAAACTCTTCTTTCTGCACCTCTGAAACTGTAAAGTTCATTTTCAACATACTATCCTGTATGTCTCATTGCTATAATGGGTTAACTTGTATCCTTGTTTCAGCATTTTGTCATTTCCCTTCCCCTCCCCAAATTAAAAAAAAATGTATATACAAGATGCAGGGCACCAGAATCAAATACAGTGACAATAGAGGTTATAGAAATGTAGAAAAATTATATTAAGTGAAGTTAAGGCAGACCCAAAGAAACATAGGCCTCATGGTTTCCCTCATTTGCAATAACGCGTATACATCTAAGATAATCTTACCATACAAACAGAAAAGGTCAAAAGCTATGGACATATGACCATAACAACTTTGGTGTGGGGCGGGGGAGGGGGTAAGGGGGAGCAGGGAAGATTAGGTGGGGGGCAGGGGGAGGATGGGAAGGGGAAACAAAGGAGGAGGCTACAATGCTTGATAAGAAATGTACTCATTACCTTGCCCATGTAATTGTAACCCCTCTGTACAGTATTTTCACTATAACAAAAAGGGAAGGAAGGGAAGGGGTAGCAATGATCGACAAGTAATGTACTCATTGCCTTATTCATGTAACTATAACCCCTCTGTACAGCATCTTAACAATAAAATAAAGTTAAAAAAAGATGATGCTAAGTGAAATGAACCCCAAGATATGGACACAAGAGATGTTTTCTTTGTTGCTGTTGTTTTTAATGTACTATGTGATTTTTTTTGTTTCTTTTGTATGGTCTTGCCCACATACTTTTCTTTTGAAAAGCATATGAAACAATTGTATTTATGGAAATTACTAGACTTACTTATCCTGAATATTCAGTGCTACATAAACATATATTTTTGTGAATACTTTGGCTTATAGGAGTGAAGATGAAGTTTCTCATTGATCTGGTCAGGTTATTTGAACACAACTCTTAACTTTTCTATATGTTCAAATTAAATTCATGTTGGGGAATTTAAAAATTCCCTGTGTTGCCCAAGGGATCAGCCTGGATAGGATATTTGATGGAGGAAAGAATGAAAGACCATGGAAAACACATGTAGTGTTTCATAGAGGCAAACAGATTGAGAGATGCCATGGAGTCAGGGTCACTTGATTTGAGGCCAATCATCATTTGTGACTCAAACTTCCAACCTCCCATCTCTCTGGGAATATTTACCTGGGTGTCTTCAGCTTTAAAAGGACCCTCAGTGGAAAAGCATGTCTGATGGAATCTTACTATCTACATAATGATCGAAGGTTGGGGCCTTAGTCATAGGATGAGCGTGATAAATGCCTGAGTCATACTTTCATCTTGTTTTTGGAATTTCTTTTCATTTATTTTAAATTCTCCAGTCACTATTAAGAAGCACTCCCTGGAGCTAGAAGGAATCATGTTGAGCGAGGTAAGCCAAGAACGAAGAGACAAACGGTACATGGTCTCCCTGATAAGTGGATGCTAAATCCAAAAGGTTAGGTGATACGACAAAACTAACAGGACTTAAGAAACAAAGAACTCCTGCTCATCTGGTTGAACCACTACTAAATATCCCCATGCTGCTGATCACAAATATGGTATATAACATGTGAACACTGTTATATATTACAGACTGTGGTAGACAATTTGCTCCAGGGAAGTTAGAATGAACTTGTGACTTTGAAATTATGTAATCATTTAATCACAATCAAAAAAAAAAAAAAAGAACCTCGGGGAAGGGAGGGAGGGAGGGGATGGTAGGGGGAAAACAATGGAGGGGGTAACAATGTTCAAGAGGAAGTGTACTCATTACCTCATTCATGTAACTGTAACCCTCTGTATAGTAGCTTTACAATAAAAAAAAAAAAAAAAAAAAAGAAGCACTCCCAAGGCAAAGAGCCGGGATAACCTTGTGGCCCAATTTAAGTAATCAAGGGTCTTTATATTTAAACAGAACAGATTGATAATAGTAGAGGCATTTTCTCTTAGTAGATGAGTGGATTAAGAAAATATGGTATATATACACAATGGAATTCTATGCCTCCATCAGAAAGAATGACATTGCTCCATTTGTTAGGAAATGGAAAGACTTGGAAAAAATTATATTAAGTGAAGTAAGCCAGGTCCAAAGAAACATAGGTCCCATGGTTTCCCTTATTTGCAATATCTAGTATATGTCTGAGTCAAGCAGAAAAGGTCAGATAAGGTGATGTTAGGGAAATGAACTCTAAGATATGTATTCAAAAGTTTTTTTTTCTTTCATGCGATTGTTTCTAATGCATTTATAAGATTATTTCTTTGTTGCTTTATATGTCCCTCCCCCACAGTATAACCCCTGCTTTCACTATATTTGATGTCGGTATAATTTGTGGAGGGGAAGGGGAAAAACAAGTCGATTAAATAGGGATACAGGTGGACCCATTGCAACAATAAGTACAAGTCGTTATGTTGAAAACGAACTTTACAATTTTGGTGGGGGGGGCGGGGAGGATTGGGGGGGCGGGGGAGGAAGGGAAGGGATGGGAAGGGGAAACAAAAGAGGAGGCTACAATGGTTGATAAGAAATGTAATCATTATCTTGCCCATGTAAGTGTAACCCCTCTGTACAGTATTTTCACAATAAAATAAATAAATAAATAAATAAAAATAGTGGAGGCATTTTTATTCAAATATCAAATAACTAGTTTAACAGACTATTTTGATGAACGAATCATTTGCTTGTTAATATTAGAAAATTTATTTTCAGCTGGGAAGGTGGCTCAGTGGTAGAGCGCTTGCCTTGCATGCATGAGGCCCTGGGTTCAATTCCTCAGCACCACATAAGCAAAAAGAAAAAAGCCGGAAGTGGTGCTGTGGCTCAAGTGGTAGAGCGCTAGCCTTGAGCTGAAGAGCTGAGGGACAGCGCCCAGGCCCAGAGTTCAGGCCCCATGACCGGACCCAAAAAAAAAAAAAAAAAAAAAAGAAAATTTATTTTCATAGCTGAATTTGTATTTGGTTTAGTAGCTCAATTCAAATGGAAAAAGTTCCTTCTCTTTCTACAAAGACAGACTGACCTTCAATAAAAATAATTTGTCTGATAAGTCCTTCTTTCCGAATACCATGCAATTATCATGACTTCTCACTGTCACTTCTGTCTGAACTAATAAATGAATCTTTGGCAGAGAAGCATTAACTTTTGTTTTGAAAAAGTAATATTGTGCTCAAAAGTCTCCATGATATTTACAAACAAACAAATCTGGACCTCTCCATATATTATGTTCCTCAATACCTCCATGTTTAAATCTACACCTATATGCAAAACATTTTTTTGTGCCAGTACTGGTTTCAGGGCGTGAGCACTGTCCCTGAACTTTTGTGCTCAAGGCTAGTGCTCTATCATTTTTTTTGTTTTGTTTTGTTTTTGGGTCCGGTCGTGGGGCCTGAACTCTGGGCCTGGGCACTGTCCCTCAGCTCTTCAGCTCAACGCTAGCGCTCTACCACTTGAGCCACAGCACCACTCTGGCTTTTTTCTTTTTGCTTACGTGGTACTGGGGAATCGAACCCAGGGCCTCGTGCATGCAAGGCAAGCGCTCTACCACTGAGCCACCTTCCCAGCCCGTAGTGCTCTGTCATTTTGAGGTACAGCACCATTTCTAGTTTTTTGATGATATATTGTGGATAGTAGTGTCACAGATTTTCCTTTCCTGGGCTGGTTTTGAACTGAGATCCTCATATCTCAGCTTCCTGAGTAGCTAGGATTACAAGCATAAGCCATAGGCACCTGGCAACGATATTATTCTTAAAAAGAGTGTTACTTATAGTAAAAATCCAGCTTAAAATATGAAAAATTCCTAGAGATAGTTAAGATTATTCCCTGTTATTCTCTTTTAAATCCTCCCAAAATGGAAAAATTAAGTGAGTCATTCTAATTATAATTCCAATAAATTTGCCCAAGGAATTTCCTGCTCTTTGAAACCAAAGATCAATTTGGCAAGATGGTGATCTTTGCCACTCCATCTCCACATGTGGATTTCTGAGTTTGTCTTTAATTTCTTATCTGTATTGTCCTCAAGGATAAGATTATGTTTCTCTACCTGGCTAACATAGAATCAAGTTATAACCTTTACTCACAATATATCTTCATGAATAATCATAATAAAGTCAATAGCCAGTAAAATAAGAGTTTCGAAGCCTTAAAAATATAGCTTGATGTATTTTCAGCTACTAAGTTAATACTTGTTAGGGCAGTATGTCCTGCAGCTATTCTGGATGTATCAGAAATATTTTCAGAAACCATTTGAAGTAACGGAATGCTGAGACTGTGATTTAAAAATATTTTCAAATCCATTGGCTGAGTATAAAATTATTTCATTTCTCTTCCAA